TTCAACTCAATAATTTTTTTTTTTTAACATTGACTAATAAATTTGGCTCGTGACTTCAGCCCTCCCAAATTGAAGCCCTATTTTCCCACAAACCCCAAATCCCAACTACCCCAAATTGATGCCATATTTTCCGTTGCCGACCGACGCACAACCGACAATAGTCGCGAACCTCCTGAATTTCATCACCAAAATTGTAAATTGGCAGCTCCATCACCCAACACGCTAACCGGAGAAGCCTTAAAATCGTCTACAAAAGTAGAGGCGGTCGCGAACGGTGCGATCGCCTCCCCCAATCTGTACAACCATGGCTGAAGAACAACCAGCAGGTGAGAAATAATAGTCTCCATCTACTCTGTAATTTCAACTTGATGCAGTAGTGTACAAATTGAATTTTTTAATATAATAGATTTATTGTTAATTAAACTATAGATATTCCTTTCGATGAAGATCCAGACTTGAGTGACTCGGACTTCAATGACTGGAACAATGATGTGTATGATGATGATGACATCCTGTTTGATCGTAATGTAACAAAAGGTATCGAAATGGATATGATTCCTGTAATAGAGTATGAACAAGCTCCCAAATCAGATAGTTCTTCACATGCATCTTCGGAGGAGTTAAATTTCAGAAGTGGTTCGGAGTCAAAGGAGAACAATGGTCAACAGAAATTTCCTGAATATAATGCTGAAAATGGGAAGAGGAATCCACATCTTGAGGTTGGATTGCTGTTTTCTTCATTCGAGGAGTTGAAATATGTTTTGAGGACGTATGTGGTGTTCAATCGGGTTGAACCTATTTTCAAGAGAAATGATAGAGATCGGGTTCATTGCGTATGTAAAGATGGATGCAATTGGAGGTTGTGGGCGTCTAAGGTTCAAGGTGAACAAACTATTCAGATTAAATCATACGATCCCGAACACACATTTTTTAAAGTTCGGACAAATAAGTATGCAACATATAAATGGCTTGCGGAGCACTATCTAGATGATTTTAGAGCTGATCCGGAATGGAGGACAAAAAATTTTAGGAGTATTGTGAGAAAGGATTTTGGTTTACACATTACCAAGGTAGTATCTTGGAATACGAAAAAATATGCCAAGGTTTTAGTAGAAGGGAGCGATGAGTAACAATTCGCATTGTTGCGGTGCTACGGGGCTAAATTGAGAAGAACAAACCCGGGTTCAAGTGTGATAATTTCTGAAGTAGATAGTGTGTTTAGGGGCATCTACATTTGCAAAGAGGCACGTAAGAGAGGATTTATGCACGGTTGTTGACGTTTTGTTTGTATAGATAGATGTGTTGGATATTGTTGGACAAGCTTCGCAAAGCAGAATATCGGATTTACTAATTGAGTATCGGATATGTAGAATAGATACTGTATTAGTGAATTTTACTTAAGGAGTGGGCACGCCTTATTGAATTGAAATTCTGCTATAAGTGGAAGACTCACGCCGTATTTGTTGTTAACAGAATATGCACTTACAGGATATGCACTAGTAGATTCAACAACTATGAATATAACAGATTCAATTATACATACCAAATTTAATACTCTAGCAGATTTAATAATGTGTCAAATTGTAGTAAAGTATAACAAGTAATAAAATTGTAATTAGAGATGCAAAATATAAATTTGCATAAATAAGTGGCAAAACAAACACTTGCAGAAGTTAAATAAAAAGAAAAATTTTAACCCGAGGCCTGTGTT